TGAAGATCTTCAAAAAGCTATCAAAATACAAGGACCTTGAAATCGAAATCTCAAAAATGTGGCACATGAGAACATTAACAATCCCTGTTGTAGTTGGAGCCCTCGGGTTGATTGGAAAAGATTTCAAGAGGTTTATTGAAGGGATTCCTGGAAGCCCATGCCTAAAAGAAATACAAAAAATTGTTTTCACACACACCTTACGAAGAGCTTTATCTATGTAAAATATGTTTTTTTTTTTAATTGGTCAGTGGAAAATACACACCAGAATTCAAAGGAAATAAACTACTAATAATAAGTGGGTGAAGAAGTAAAGAAAAACCCTAATGAACTTATTGCAGCAGTAAAGAACCTAGAAAAAGAAAGCAACAGGCTATCAGTGGTTACGTAGTGCAGTGTTAAAAGCTGAAACCAAAAGTTTTATTCTTGCTACACGGGATCGATCCTTGCTAACTAGAAATTGCCAAGCAGACGTACTGAAACATTTTGTTGACCCCAAATGCTGAATATGTGATAAATATCCAGAAACAATTGGCTATCTTGTATTAGGTTTGCACGATGTTAACATCCACTGAATATAAAAGTTGGCATGATAGAATGAGCCAATATCCGCACTGGCAAATATGCAACTTTTACGCGAAGGAAATTGCAAGAAACTGGCATGAATCATGTCACGGTTAAAGAGAATAGGAACAGTAACAATCATATGGGATTTTACAATACAGACGAACAGAACAATCAAAGCTAATCGTCCAAACATTGTGATCAAGGAGCACAAGAACAGAATATACTTTCTTATTGACATGGCAGTCCATGCAGATTGTAATGTATCTTTGAAGATCTTCAAAAAATACAATCAAAATACAAGAATATTGAAGTGGAAATCTCAAAATTGTGACACATGTGAATATTAATAAATGTGTATACAAGAGAAATCGCCATCGTGAAAAAGAAGGAGGAGGAGTAAGAGAATAATAATAATAATAAGAAGAAGAAGAAGAAGAAGAAGAAGAAAAAGGAGGAGGAGGAAGAGGAGGAAGAAGAGATGTAGAAGGAAGAGAAGGAGGAGGAGAAGATTAAGAAGAAAAAGAAGAAGAGGGAGAAGGGAGATAAGGAGGAGAAGAATAAGAACAATAATAAGAAGAAAAGGGATGAGAAGAAGAAGAAGAAGAAGAAGAAGAAGAAGAAGAAGCCATGTTAAAAAAAAAAATGCATTTCTGCATTAATTACCCCAGTACGAGAATTAACCCTCCTTTACTTGCAGCATCCAATAAAGATTTTTATGGCATCATCTTTTTCCTTTTCCCTCATACGGATCTGTCTCTCACTCAGGTCAGATGACAACAACTCTAAGTCGGGAGGAGCGTGTGTGAAAACACTTTTTTTCTCTTTGTCTTGTTAGTGCGTTAATAAGAATTTATATAAGGGAATATACTAGAATATAAAATGAACAGTATAAAAGAAGAAGAAGAAGAAGAAGAAGAAGAAGAAGAAGAAGAAGAAGAAGAAATGGTGTGTAGTCTCTGGGCTCCCTGCGCTACACACATAAAATATACTTTGTATATTTTTAATATTCTTTGCCAAAGAACTGATAACTTTACAAATGAAAAGAAAAAATCGTCACTAATTTCAAAATCGGAATGACATGAAATATAATATTTTTATTACTTTTTTAGGGGTTATTTGTCTCGCAAACACACGCACGAAAAGAACCCTGAATCACACATCTACGTCACACACGACCTTACCTATACGCGCGACTGTATACATAATCATTCGGGCGTGTGACCTTTTTTTTTTATCGTCCCTCACAACATGGCACATAAAGGCGGAGCGTAATTTATTCGGACGCCCAGGCCGCACGCAGATGTACACACACACACACACACACACACACACACACACACACACACACACACACACACACACACATATTTCGTTCGTCTTTGTGCCACTAAATCTGTTACTTAAATCAATTTTTTAGATTTAATGGCTTCTTGTAGCCTCGAGATCCGAAGTATTAATGTGCTTTGTAAGTGCTGGCTACGTCACTTCCGATTGCTGCCGACAGGGACTTCCGCTTCCGATTGAAAGAAGTTTACAAAGGCAATGCATTTTATTCTAATTCGCTTTTAATTTTTTTTTACACTTGATGAATATTTGTATGATTATATACATACATAAATACATATGAAAAAGGATAAGGCAAAATAAGTACACACACATACACACACACACACACACACACACACATATATATATATATATATATAGTAACAGAAATTTATTGTGAATTATATATATATATATATATATATATATGGTAACAGAAATTTATTGTAAATTTATATATATATATATATATATATATATATATATATATATATAATTCACAATAGAGTTCTGTTACTTCTGTATATATATGTGTGTGTATCGAAGGGCTGATACTATAAAAAGAAAACTACAACACATATCAATTCGGTATTTAATCTCCTTCGAAGTAGTCCCCTTTTGAATCTACATCCACCAACCCACGTCGTTTCCATTGACAAACCAAGCCATAATCAAACCAAATCAGTTTCATCATCATCTTTATTGCTGGTCATTTCTGATCATGCTAATCTGCTCAGGCCTATTCACGTCTCTAATCACCCCGCTGCCTAAATGACGTAATGATAAGCGGTGAACATTTTAATAGGGCTCGTTAATATGTTTCAAGAAGAAATAACAAAAAACAAACGTTCCTGCCCACATTTTAGCTCGCCGATGTCCCCAAAGAGTTTTCCTGGTAACAGGAGGGTGGATATTTAGAAGTTTCGTGCCATATTATGGGCAAGAGAATTGTTTCCTATTGGCTTGGGTGCTGGCCATTTACTCCAAATTGCCGCCATTATTATTTAGTTATATTTAATCGAAATAACGCAATGCAACGATAGACGTTGTTTGCTGCTGAGAATTCGCACTTTTGCGTGATTAATGATGACATAATCAGCCGAGCGATATGCTATAACGTTGAAAAACCCGAAACTATCAATACAATTAACATAAGTGATGACGCAACCCCACGACACTTCGTTATGTATATCGAGTATTTATGCTATTTTATTAGGCTACAAAAGAAAACAGGGAAATGAACGTGTCTCAATATTCTGCAAAATTAGCTAACAACAGCTTTAAGGTGGGGCACCCTTGTTGGTTGAGTCAATATATGTGCGGTTCTTTTAAGGATCGAACTCAGTGCAGTAGTAATCGTTTGAAAGACCAACAAGCTAACCACTGCTCGAGGGTTAGTCATTCTTTTTGGTATTTACTAAGTTTACTGTAAAAGTTAATACAAAGCCACAAACGCTGGAAAACCCACCGAGGACCGGCTAGCCTTTGTAGTAATATTTTTTAAGATTAACCTGCTAAACATTGCTCTAGGATGAGAGGTCTTTATTGACATTCATTTAAACATATACTTGTATCAAACTAGGATATAAGAATCGAACTCAATGGTCAACGAAAGTAGCACATTAACCATTACTCATACCCTAATCTATTCTAACGGCTTCCTATCGACAAAATCGTATATGTGGAAGAATAAATCTTCAAACACAGCTCTACAAATAAATTTTATTATTGAGTAGTTGTTTTCTTTTAAGTTGAAAGAAACGAATTACGTATTTTCTTGCGAAGCAAAGTCTCACAAAAATATTTTTGTTTTGTTCTTTATAACACAGAATAAATTGCATTAGTATGACAGAGAAACAGAATGTGTCTACATAAGGAGAGTGTCACGTATTTACATTGTTTTATGAACACGTGTCATATTCCAGCAGTCAGCGAACGGGGGCTGTGTTATTACTACTATTAATATATTGTTTACATAACATCATTCCTATGTTTCACGTGTACGTAATTTACTTTAAAATTCGCGTGTTTATGATAACAAGGTTACTCGATATAATGTGTGAAATATTGAGTAAATAATTATCCGAAAGGTTTGAATAATCAGCTGTGTACAACCCTGGCCATAGGTATGCCGAAAAACCCTTGAAAACCGAATACTAGCTTTGTGAATTTACGCGATCGTATTTAAGAAATAGGCTCCAGCGTTCTAGAAGTAAGATTTACTAAACTCAGAATATTTGTTGATCATTTTTTTTAAATATCTGTTTTTAGGAAGGAAAATATTGTTGATCATTTTCTGGAGTGATCTCGCAAATTTCGTATCAGATAAAAAAAAAAATTCAGTCTTAAGCACATTTGTAACAACGTCGCTGATAAATAAATGCAAATGCTGACATTCACATTAGTCCCTATGTTTTGCACAAAAATAATTGAGGATCTTAATGATATTACTTAAATCTATTGAAGTTTTCTACAATTTTTAATAGAGTTCCATGTGTATCTCAGTAACATTCTTCTTTTATGTTCCATGTACCTTTAATATGTAGGCGATCACGACTCTCCACAACTTCCTGTCTTTTGTTGCTATAAGTAACTTTTGACCCTACCATCCCTATCAATTCGCACAAACTAGTTTGGTAGGTTACATGTTTTCCCGTTGCTTCTCTTGCCTTCGACATGTCATGTGAGTGTTCAATTCTCTAAACCCTCTTTCCTCATTACGCGCCCCAGGAGTGTCAATAATTTGCAAATATCAATTCCCGTGCTATTTACCTGAAAGCTTCCTTGTTACTTCCATGTTCTGACTTTGAATTCGTCGGAGAATTATATCTCTTTGGCTTCAAGTCTCTTCATCTTTGAGTAGATTGTTCACCACATTGACTGGCGTATAGGCTGCCAGATATTACGTAGCAGTTATGTATTAGTTTGTTGGCTTCCAGCGAAATGTTCTTGCATATTATTAGTGAAGAATTCGAATCAATAATTGTACAGAAAGTACGAATATATTTTTGTCTGAAGCGAAATAGATTTCAAAGTAAAATGATGAAATTTATTGTAAGGTAAGTGGTGCTTGGTCTTTCAAATTCACCTAGCACCCCACTTAGATGAAAATGCGTTGCTTACCCTTCCACACCCGCTCTCTCTCTCTCTCTCTCTCTCTCTCTCTATCTATCTATCTATCTATCTATCTATCTATCTCATTCTGTTCATATCTATCTATCTATCTATCTATCTATCTATCTATCTATCTATCTATCTATCTATCTCATTCTGTTCATATCTATCTCATTCTGTTCATATCTATCTATCTATCTATCTATCTATCTATCTATCTATCTATCTCATTCTGTTCATATCTATCTCATTCTGTTCATATCTATCTATCTATCTATCTCATTCTGTTCATATCTATCTATCTATCTATCTATCTATCTATCTATCTATCTATCTCATTCTGTTCATATCTATCTCAGTCTGTTCATATCTATCTATCTATCTATCTATCTATCTATCTATCTATCTCATTCTGTTCATATCTATCTCATTCTGTTCATATCTATCTATCTATCTATCTATCTATCTATCTATCTATCTCATTCTGTTCATATCTATCTATCTATCTATCTATCTATCTATCTATCTATCTATCTATTTCTCTTTTGTTCATCTACCTCTTGTATATCTTATTCATTTCCTTCTATACTGTCTTTCTCCATAATATTATTGACTTATTTTTCTTTCTTTCTTTCTTTCTTTCTTTCTTTCTTTCTTTCTCAACTCGCCTTTCTTCATTCCTTATTCAACTCCCTTCCTTCCTTTTCTTCTCTATTTCTTTTTCTTTCTTTCTTACATTTTTTTCAGCTTGTTTTCCTCTCTTTTTTCTACGCTCTTTCTTTCGATTCTCATTCAACTCGCTTTTCTTTCTTTCTTTTTTCTTTCTTTCTTTTTTCTTTCTTTCTTTTTTCTTTCTTTCTTTCTCAGTTTACTCGCTTTCTTTTCTTTTCCTTTTCTTTCCTTTTCATTTTGCTTGCTTTCTTTTTATTCACATCTTTTTATTTCCATTTTTCTTTATTTCTCCTTCAACTCGTTTTCTTTTTTCTCTTTCTTTCTTTATTTTTAATTCCAATCGCTTTCTTTTCTTTCTCGCTTTCTTTCTCCTTCAACTCGATTTCCTTCCTTCCTTCCTTCCTTCCTTCCTTCCTTCCTTCCTTCCTTCAACTCATTTTCTTTTCAATCTTTCTTTCTTTCTTTCTTTCTTTTTCAACTCGATTTCCTTCCTTTCACATTCTCATTAACCCTTTCTTTCTTTCTTTCTTTCTTTCTTTGTCCATATTCTCATGAAGTCATTTCCTTTCTTTCTCTCTTTCATTCTCCCTCCTTCTACATGCCGTCTTCTCTATCTCTTTCTGTCTTCAAAACCTCCTCTCTTTTACTTTCCTCTGCAAAGCCCTTCCTTTTCTGCGTTCAAAACTTCAACCCGACTTTACTGTCCATAAATGATGACTGCTATTCTGACACAAAAGCCGTTGTTAGACGTGTAGACCACTTAAGTTTAACAAATGCCCCCCTGTCTGTCGAAAGTATAAGCACATGCTCACAGAATTGAGGCGAAGTTATCACGAAGTTGGCGGTGAAGGCGGAAGCAAGGTTGAGGTGTTATGACTCGGGCCGGGACATTGCGTGGGGTTCGGTGTCGCTTGAGGCGTGACTTGGGCTACGAGCTCAATGTGGTCTGAACGTTTACAAAACTTTTTCTACAAGGTTTCTTCTGATGACTTATTGGAAATTATGCTTCTTTTTCATATTTTCTTTTACACTTTTAGATTTGTTAGTTTAGTTACTTGACTAAGGGCGCATATGCAAGAGTTAAGATCAGCTACGTATTCCAGCAGCAAATTGATAGGTCACCCAGTGAGGATCGAACTCACTACTAGGTCGTAAGCGATCTAGAGAGACAAGATTACTTACATCACACCACGTCGAAGTATCCAAACTGATTTTCTAAGCGTAGCTTAGATGCATCACTAGGCCGAATGGGACTCCTAGTGAGGATCGAACTCACTATTCAGTCGCAATAGATCTAACGAGACAAACTTGTTAACCATCGCATAGCGTTTGAAGTGCCCAGGAGCCTTAACAAATGTGACATGGTGTTTTACCAACATAAATTTAATTACAATGGCTTCCCCACTGATGAAAAATTACGAATAAACTAGTGTATTTAATGTGATATAACATTCAAGGATATCTAAATTTGAATTGTTTTTTTACGGCTTATCAATCCATTGTGTGGTATTTTTTGGATTGTAAGAATAATTCTGTTTATACAAGTGAATATTGCATTCGTAAGTTTTTGAAGATAACAATTACTTTCCCAGAGATGTGGCCTACTATTTAATCCATAGCTTGGAGAGAAGAAAGTGTTTCATATGTTCCCCAAGGGTTATGAGCCTAACTGGGATATGTAAGAAACAAGAGCATTGAACATATAATAGTATGCGCTATCGTAGTTTCACACAACACATCAAATTGCTACAAAACTAAAACATTAACATCTGGATCCATATTCTTAAATATCCTCGTCATATCGAGATATGGATGCCATGCATGGCGCTAAAACCGTTCAGAAATATCTAAACTGTCAGATGTATACAACCGCTTTTTCGTATCAGTTATTTTAAATGTCTTCGAGCGAATGACGTGCGTAGATATCAATAAAGATCTGTTTTCATCGAATCTCGGTGACTGGCGCTACAGAATCACGGAAAAAGAACTGAACCAATTATCAGAAGCCACATCATCTGACAAATTTCAACAGCAGCAAATGTCGTCGTCGTCAGCTTTATCTCTCGTATCCAATAATTTAATTTCTTTCTTGCTGGTCGCTTTCTTTATGATGATGACATTGGCGACTAAGCAGACCAATTCTTGCATGGAAGGGTCGATGACATTGACTGCATAATAATATTGATGGAATACGAGGTTGATTTTGTCGAATCTTTCTTTCTTGTCGTTTGATTTTTTTCCTTTTCTCTTCTGGTGGCTACGAAACTTTTGATTTTGATGGTGATGGAACACCACCAGTTTGTATGGTCTTGTGCTTGTGTTTAAAACGATTTAAGCGCATGTCCAGTGGCTTTCAGTGTCGTTTTGATTTAGTCATGTATCTTCGAAGAGGGTAATCCTGTGATCAGTATTAATTGGAGTTAGGGATTTTTATTATACCCTATAAATCCCTTTGCCAGGATCTGTTTGTCTCTCACGAGTGATTGTGGCCTGTAATTGATTAGGAACAGACATATTACTGGTTTTTACTTTTGTATTCAAGTAGTTCTTAAATAACATTTCTAACTGGACGCAGAGTCTGGAGTCTGATAAACTTTATACACAGCAAGTTTAATAAATTCCTTGAAAGATTTTCGCCAATTATTCGGTAAAATTCTTTTGAGCAAACATAAGATTCCGAACTTGATCGAATAACAATTTTTTTTAGATCTGTTAAGGAAAACTAAAGGGGTGCCAGTGTGACTAAGTAGACCAATTCTTGCATGGAAGGGTCGATGACATTGACTGCATAATAATGTTGATGGCGGATGAGGTCGATTTTGTCGAACCTTTCTCTCTTGTCGTTTGATTTTTTCCTTTTCTCTTCTGGTGGCTACGAAGCTTTTGGTTTTGATGGTGATGGAACATCGCCGGTTTGTATGGTTTTGTGCTTGTGTTTAAAACGATTTAAGCCAAAGTCCAGTGGTCTTTAGACATTTTTTGAGTTGATCCTTATATCTTCGAAGAGTGAAACCCTGTGGTCTTTTCCCCAAAGTTATCTCACTGAATAAGACTTGATGGGGATACCTTGACTCAACCATTCATGTTCTAACCATCGGGTGACGGTATTTCATGATCAGCGATTTGATTCTTTGACTTCTGCCTTTTTTTCAGGACTTTTTTGTTTATATAATATCCTTATTTGATATTCAAGATTGAACAAGACTTTTGCTGGTGAAAGGTTTCTAGCTTTTGGATGTCGCGACCAAATAGAGTCCATGTTTCGTAGCCATATCATCATCATTTATTCAGTTAGCACATTTTGTGCCACTCTGTTCATCACTCCCCTCCATCTCTCTCTGTCTCTGTCTCTGTCCATAAAAAGAATACCCGCTCGGCCCGGTGGCTAGGATCAAAGTGTAGTATCTGTGCTTTGTGAGCTGCCGGGTCGGGTGTCTGTCGAACTCTCTGCTTGCAGAGAGTTCCCCTGACGAAGCTCTGCCGAAGGGTAGGGTTTCGTTGGGGGAGGTTGACGGAACTGACCCGCCTCGGTGGGTTTGGATGGTTATTTATTTTTGGCTGGGCCTACGGGCTCGGACATACCCACATTAAAAAGGCCTTGTGCCACATTCGATCCCCGTGGGTGGATTGATAAATACCATCTCTCTCTGTCTCTGTCTTTTGTTCCCCTTACAGCTTCAGTCACCGTCATTACAGTCGACCTTTTGATATCATCATACCAAGATATGGGTGTTCGTCGCTGGTAGCCCTTGCCCTCTACGGGGTCCAGCAGAATATCCTTATCGAAACCGCCTCGTAGCATATGTTCGAAATCACAGAACTTCCTGAGTGCCATTTGCTTTCTCAAGGTTTGTTCTGATGGTATATAGCACCCATTTATTTGTGCGTCTCGCCGTCCGGTGCCCTGTAAGTTCTCTTTGATATGTCCACATCTCGAAATCATCAATCCAATGTCTTTTCCGCTTGGCCTGTGCGCCCCTATTTCAACTGCCATTACCTTTATAATTAATTTATATAATTTAAAGTATTAAATAACTGTTAATAACTTTCCCAGTATTGAATAACAAAGTGATTATAAAAATTGACAGTCATAACTAGAAAATTTAAATTTAAAATTTAATATATATATAAATGTGCATTTATTCATTCATTTAGTCAGTTATCGCATTTTGCGCCCTTGTGGTCACCGCTATCTTCCATTTCTCTCTGTCTGGTGTTACCCTTACAGCCTCAATCTACGTCATTCCAGTCCACCGTAAGACCAAGACATGGCGCGCTTGCCCTCTACTGGGCCAACCAGAATGTCCCTATCGAAGCCGGCCCGTCACAAAAGCCCGAAATGTTAGGAGCTTCCTTAGTATGATCTGCTCTCTCAATACGTATCTTGATCTGAATGTATGTAGCACCCTCTTATTAGCGTGACTCACCGTCCGTTGCCCTGTAAGTACGCTTTGATATGTCCACATCTCGAAAGCATCAATCCTGCGTATTTACCGATTGATCAGTGCTCATGACTCGCATCCATATATGGTGAGGGCGAAATCAGTGGCTCGTCGTAATTTCAAATTTAGGCTGATGTGAATATCCCGACTTGATATTGCCAGCCTTCTCATGATCTCCCGCTTAGAGCTGCTCGGGGTTTTTATGGTGGAGACCGGGTAAACAAAGTCCTCCATCTCCTCACTCCTCTCACCATCCATTAGGAACTCTGTACGGCCCCTCTCAATCAGCACTACCTTGGGTCTTCTTGGCGTTTAACAAAAGACCTCGACGGGCACTGGAATTACATTTTGTACGGTAATTTCCTCGCTATACGTGTTGAACAAGATCAGTGATACAATGCAGTTCTTAACGAACACATTTTCCTCTGTTAAACCCATGGATGTTCATACAGCGGGTTCCTGACCTCGAGAAAAATATGACATTTTTTTGAGGCATTTTTAAATGTTTCTTAACACAGGATGAGTGTTGGGTTCATCACTTTGAGCTAGAGACAAAGATACACTCCATGCAATGGAGATGTCCCACCTTACCTGCTCTAAAGAAGGCAAAGGTTTTTTCATTTGCAGGGAAGTGATTGCCTCAGACTTTTGGGATAAAAAAGCGTTGCCTTTACTGACTCTTCAAAAGGGCCACACAATCAATAGAGAGTACTATGCCAACTTGCTGAGGCAACTACGAAAGGCTATCAAGGCGTAACAACGAGGAAAATTGATGAAAGTGGTTTTGTTTCATCATTAAAAGGCTCCAGCAGACAAGTCATTGGTTACAATTGCTGCTGTGCTTAACTGACTTTGAAGAGGTTGATCATTCTACCTATTCTCCTAATTTGACTATCATCTGTTCCCCAAGATGAAAAGCAAGACACTTGGTTGGGAACCAGTATCGCAGTGATGATGACGTCATATCTCATATGGATTACTTTTTTGACCAATAGGATGAACAGTCAGATATCAGTTTGCCTGTAAAAAAAAAAAAAAAAAAAAAACACAAACAGACACAACAATTCAGTTATTAATAAGAAGAGTTGAAATAAATGCATGCAAGATTTCACGGCTCTAGCATCACTTCTTCATAGTCAGCCTATGAACTTTTCAGCCCACCCTCGTACCTGGATGAAACAATGCAGTTATTAATAAGAAGAGTTGAAATGAATGCATGCAAGATTTCGCAGGTCTAGCATCACTCCTTCATAGTCAGCCTACGAACTTTTCAGCCCAACCTCGTATTACATCACCAAACTTTATTAAATCCATTCTTAAAGAATCTAACGTATGCTTAACTACCGGTGTTGACGTATATTTAAAAACCGGTGTTTAATTAAAACCATCCCCAAATTAATATGCGGACAGCCACCCAACATAAATAATGCCTACTAGAGACACACACACATCATCATCATCATTCGAATTTCCGCATAGACAAACTAGAATTATTATACACTTACACACGAACGCAATAATGGCTCTCCACAATTTCCTGTTCTTTGTAGCTCTTAAGAAATTTTCTGTTTGTTACTTCTCCCAAACCCTATTCTACCATCCATTTACTCAAACTCATGCATTGTTTTCTTCAGTCCCTCTTGCCTTCAATCTGTCCTGTGAGTATCAGATTTTCCAAGCCTTTTTTCTACTTTTCCTCATTATAAAAATAAAGTCCATATATATATATATATATATATATATATATATATATATATATATATGTAGTTAGGACGAAAAGATGGTTCACGTGTGCTTCTTATAATATGTAGATGTAATTGGCGGGTTAATGGAATTTGAGGAATAAAATATCAACAAAATGATAAATGACAATAAGATTGATGATATTTATTATATATTAGCCTCTTGACTAAAAGCACGAAGAGAAAGATTTTATAGTTGGAATTTTAGGACACGCCTGTGTCCTTTTTCAATGATACGAGGAATAAACAAAAAAAGGAATGTTGTTGTTTGCAGAAACTATATTCTCTGAGTAAACCGAATTCCCTGTATAATCCTTTATCACATGATTTTATTTTGAAAATCTGTGTTTTTCTCGTCGTCTGTTAAATGAAGACGCTAAAAGCCCGCCTCTTTGAAAAAATCAGACATTAAAATCTTTCTCTTCGTGCTTCATGGATGTATAATGAAGCTACTTGGGTTTCTGAAATTAAATTTGGATGTCTGGAAAATCAGTCTTTGCGGATGAAAAGCGGTGGTGGGGAGTATTGTTTGGCTTTGGCTTGTGTGAATGTTTTGCTTGAAGACACGTGGCTCGCTTTATATGATCTTGTGTGCACGTGATTGTATACATATTTGTTTGGCTTTAATAATTTCGCCTTCGGGCTTACAAAGGGCAAGCGTGTACACGCCTTCCTGTGGGTATCACTTTATCATTCAGATTATCACAGCCGTGCAAGCGTGTACTTGCCAGGTCAATGGACGTATCATTTACACAAACGTACATCCAAATATACATGCATACATATATATATATATATATATATATATATATATATATATATATATGAATGTGTGTGAATTGCTTGAAATTAAAATTTGCGATATTTATAGGGGAAGAAAGTTCAGCATCGTAGATCGAGCGGACATAGGAATCCAGGTTGCTTCGTGACTGTCTATTTCAAGCCTCAATGGGATATCAAAATTATTTTTCACAGAGGCAAGTGTTGATTCCTATCGCCATATTCTCGTTCTCTCTCTCTCAATACAATATATATATATATATATATATATATATATATATATATATATATATATATATATTGTGCGTATTTAGGCAGCATTTTTCATTGATGCATTTTCATTGGATAATATAGACAAGATTTGTCTATATATTTTATGTAAATTCCTTTCGTATCGTCTGATGTTTAATAAGATTATCATTAAAAGTAGAAAGAAAATCACAATATTAATACATATTTACACAAAGTAAATAGACAAAACATGTCTATATTATTTAATGAAACATGCAATATATATATATATATATATATATATATATACTACAGTTCAATGAATATGTATCAATTGATATATTTCTGAACGGGTTTGGTACCATGCATGGCATCTAATATGAAAGTTTCGACCTGACGAGGCTATTTATGGACATGACTCGAGTTTTTAGATTAATGTTTTTGTTTTGTAGCAACTTGCGGTGTTGAGCGAAACTACCTTCAGTTCAGTGTATTCTAGGTTCAATTTCCTTTTAGCCTATTCTAAATTTTATATAACTATTTATTTGAAGTATTTATTATTTACTAATTTCTAAATTTCTTTGAGAGATTCAGTGTGTGTACCATCACTGCTTCCATTTCAGTTCATCATAATTTCTGTTTGGAAATGTTTATCATGTGTCCTATTCCTTGGAGGATGTTGATTTTCGGTTCAAAATCATTCTTATTCCGACTATGAATACCTATGTCATCAGCATAGTCTACCCCACATTATCAGTACAGGACTGTTATATACATAAATGCATTGTTACTGATCATATAAAGGAAGAAATGTATTGATAATAAAAAAGAAATTGTCAATTACTTGCATTATTTACATTACTCGTACTTTTATCCTTATCTTCATTGCCATATTCCCAACGTTTCGGCTGTTGTACGTTCCGGCCTTTTTCAGGTAATTAGAATTTCGAACTGAACTCTTTATCTCGTACACCAGGGTAAATTGTTCTAGTTCCACGTGTCATGCATCTTCTGGATATCTCAGCTCTCCAAGTTTTTGGTTCACCACTGCTGTGGCCTGGTATTTAACTTACAACAATTTGGGTCTAGTCACTAGATCTAACTAACGTCTTTATTCACTGGGCCATGTGGACGATATAAAGAGTTTGTTTCGAAATTCCAATCACCTGAAGAAGACCGGAGCGTACAACGGCCAAAACGTTATGAATATGGCAATGAAGATGAGGATAACAGTCCGAGTAATATAAATAATGTAAGTAGTCATAAAATCTCATCTCAGAAATATAGACACAAATTGTCAATGTTGATTGAATGATTCACTTTTTACGGTTTATCAACCTTGTGCTGTTTATTTAAAGCCAGTTTTAGATTATAAGATATTTTTCATTTTTTAGATAATGATTCAGTGATACAAATCGTAATAATTAACCCATAGCTAGTGGGAGAAGAGGTGGATTCATATATTTCCAAAAATTATTAGAGTGTAAGTGAATATAGAGAACTAGAATTGGAACTCAGCTCTGCGATTAACAATTCCGAGCCATTATACATTACACCACGCTCACATCAGAGCTTACAGCACCTGCTATTTTCAAACGGTTACCCATCTAGATACTGACCAGGCTCGATGTTGCTTAATTTCAGGGATTATAATTTTACCAGGTATTGAACTCTTTGGGTCCTGTCACTGGATCTAACCAACGCCTTTATCCACTGTGCCATGTGCCCTTGAGGAAGAGTGTGAGATCAATACTTGGTTTAGGCGGTGGAGAACTTCGAGAAGGGATTTAAAAGAAGATAACTGATAACTGACATCCATTAGACATGGCACGTGGAACTAGAACAGTCTGCCCAAGTGAGTGAAATAATGGGTTCAGTTCGACATTTTCAACTACCTGAAGAAGGCCGGAGTGTACAACGGTCGAAACTTTGTAATATGGCGAGAAAGATGAGGACAATAGCCCGAATAATGTAAATAATGTAAATAAATAGTGTTTAATATTTTTGTTGTCAGTTCTCGAGAGAAAAAAAATGTATAAATTCACTTTCATCATATGCTTAGGCTTTATTCCAATTCTAATCGCTTTTTAAAATAATAAATATTGTCTAAGTGTGAAGGTAGGTAAAAAAAATGGTATCATGGGGGAAAAACGTCCTTTTGACACAACGTTTTATTGCGGGTACATTTTTCCATGTTTGCCCATAATTCCTTATGAATTTACAAGAAAGCATTTCAAATGAAAGAATTTAATTTGTTATTTAATCATTTGGAAAACGAAAACATTTGGAATCATTATAAAATCATATAGAATTGAAATGAGAAAAACGAAAAAAAACTTTTTTGATATCGCACGACTACAAAATTGTTTAAGTTTCATCTGTTTTATATTACAGAGTTTCAAAACACGTTAACTATCTTGCTGTACGTGGTGCGGCAGAAATACCTCCTACATTTTAACCTGTCACCTGTCAAATACCAGTGAGCTCAGGCAAATGACGATAGTGTCGTCATCTAGTTAATGCCTTACCATTATCAATGCTTTTTAGATACCATCAGTTACCAGTGCACACGTTTGGAACAGTTTTTTTTTAAGACTGGTGAATCTGTAATTGCACCACAGGGGACATCACAGGGGGAATCACAGGGGGCATTTCATGTTTTGTGGTCGCAATGATGCTGCAAAGGGTTGAAAAATTCAGGGCCACAGGTTCAGCGCTCAAAAGAAAGTCACCTGGAAGCGCTTGAACTTCCAGTTGATGGAAAACTTTAGAAAGTGTCTAGGTGGGAAATGGACTGAAGACGAGATGCCAGGTCAGGACCAATAACATTGCAGATTCTTCTTTGGATTTTATCAAGAATATCTAAATATAACATGAGCACTAGACCAAATGTGGCAGCAATATTCAAAGCGAGGACGAATGGTAGACTTCTAAAGTATTTATAGAAAAGGAAGAGGGAAGCTACATTACGGCGATGGGAAAGGGACTGAAGACGAGATGCCAGGTCAGGATCAATAACATTGCAAATTCTTCTTTGGATTTTATCAAGAATCTATCTATCTATCTATCTATCTATCTATCTATCTATCTATCTATCTCCTCTCTCTCTCTCTCTCTATATATATATATATATATATATATATATATATATATATATATATATATATAGCAGGAGCACCAGACCTAATGCCGCAGCAATATTCAAAGAGAGGACGAATAATAGACTTATAAATTTGTAAGATAAGATTCTGGGCAGAAAATATTGTAGTAATAATGAACCAACTTTCTTAGCTGATGAGTTTACAATTGATTCAATAAACTCTTTCCACTTCATGTCAACGGAAAAGACAAATATTATAACACTAAATAAATTATACAGGAAGCTCTAAAAATACATTATACACGAAAAAATAACCAATTGCTGAATGAGATTAAATATCTTTCACTCTAGGAGACAACATTTTTAAATGTGTATAAAATGTTTAAAATGCGCATAAAATAATTATATGTATAAAAACTTGTATATTTGTTTCCGGTGTTGTTAAGCTTTGGGAAACCGTTTTACACGTAACGTCATTTATAAAATACGGGCTTCTTATATATATTTTTTTTAATAATGTCCCCCCAAGTAAGGCAATAAAAGCACTACGACGCAAGAGGTTACTGAGTGCAAGAGAATATGAGAAAAACTACCATTAAGGACAGAAGACAATAAAAGAACAAAAATTAAGAAGATAAGATAACAATTGACATTGCATTTGAATTTTTGAAGATCCAAGATTTAATCATTTCAACACAGAATAACAATAACGATAAAGAGACCGTGGCCGAGTGATTCGAACGTTCGCTTTTCAATCATGAAATCACCATGGTCGATTTGATGTTATCGGGGGAGGCGATCCAACCTTTAGAAAGTGCCACGCCTTGTGAGTGAAATTGGGTAGAGGGAAACATTGGGAACAGTCAGTGATTGTGCTAGCACTCACAAATAATCAAGTCCGGGGGTTTGAGCGTATTGGCTTTGTTCAGACTCTTGATCACGTTAGATAATGCACACTCTCCCAGAAACTGTCACTAAACTCAGCATAATTGCAGTATACACCACAGTTGGGCTCTGTGCGTGTTGAACAAACACAAAATGTGCCTGAAACGGAGATTTGCCAGTCGCCTTAGTTGACTGGCACCCTTGGATACAAGTGGCTGCGCCATATTTAATGCCAACTTCTTGGATAATGAATATCGAATGTTCCCAGCCTGAAAACGGTTAATTCGGCCACGACATAATTTAGAAGTTTTAAAACAGCACAAAGATTATTATTATCATTTTTGTTGGGGGGGGGGGTCGAAGTTCTGAGTTAAAGCAACTGAAAGCAGCAAATAATGTAAAGTGTTCGGAATTAATTAAGAAGGAAGGGTATAATATTCAGGAAGTCTCAGGCGAGACAGCATATTTTCTTTTCAGTGTTACTTTATATTTTTGACTGACATCTTTGTCCACGCTCCCGATAAGTGTTTATGACATCGAGCAAGCGCACGTGTTGGATCGCCGAGAATAAGGAATTGGTTTATTCTTGGGGAAAGGCAGGCGCGTGAACGATGTCTCAGATCAAATGATGGAGATATAACTGA